CTGATCCTGAAAATATTGCAACAAAGTCGTTCCACTAATTAATTGTTCTAACTGTCAGGAAATTTCTCCTTAGTTCTAGGTTGCTTCTCTCCTTGATTAGTTTCCATCCAGATAAGCCTGCTTTCAAAACCCCATTAAGACACTCTCTTTATTGTAAGAGGCCTCTCGGCCAAACCTAGCTCACAGGTTTGCTCGGACAATAAACGGGGAGGAAGAAATCCCTTATCACAGCCTCCTTAGGAAGTTTATTCACTAGGCTTAATCCCTGATGACTATATGAAGACAAGCTGCAATTTAAATAATGATAGATCATCACCGACAATAGAACTTGATTTGGATATATTTTGGAAAAGCTTTGGGACTGCCAAGTCCAAATTAGAAAGTGGAATGTCCATTTCTGCATCTGCTTTCCAATTATAGGAGGGTGTCCTGTGATTTAGAAAAGGTCCTTTTACTGTAGGTATTTTGGCACGGCTTGATATAATCAGTCTGTTAAAATGCTCCAATAAGTCACTGGGTAAAGCTTTCAGTGCTTATTTAATACATTTTGGAATGCATAATACAAGTCAGAGCTGGGCTTCCCTTCCACCTGAACTTTTGAGATATTCATTTCTTCTTTGTTGATTCCCTGCAATTGATCTGTCTGTCTAGCTAGCTAGCTAGCGATCATCTAGACTATGCCCTCATGGATGTTGGCTACTGCTGCTTGTGGTTTAGAGTTATCTTGCCCAGACCCAGGGAATCATAACTCTGTGGTTGGATATGTTAGCTCCCCCTTCCCTCTATTCCTAGTAGTTCTGACGTGGCAGGAGGAATCTAAGGGATGTTTAGATAGGAGCAAACATCTGCCGTCAGCAGCACACGTGGTAATCCGGGCATCTTGTGTCATTAAGGCTGTGAGAAGAAGAGGATTCCCAACAGAGGAGGGAAAGGATCTCCAGGAAAATAACCACGCAAACACACAAACACACGGGGACACCCCACTCCAAACATGTGCTCCTAGAGATATTTCTACACAACCACCCACTCCTCGACAGTGACACCTCCCTCCAAGCAACAAATGTCGCACAGGAAATATGCTATAAATGCTCAGAAAAGTACACAAATAACAACCACGCGCGCGCACACATGCTTACACATAAGACAAGCTTCGAAAGAAGCCTGCGTACACTATTGCACACTAATGTGTGTCTTTCCAGAACTATCCCACACAACTCTTATGTCATGAAACAAATGCGCAGTCATTACTCATGTGCTGGATCCAGATGTTTTCCTTCCAAATGGCACTTCTGCAAATGGATGTTGCCTTTTTGTCTTTTTTCTTCTTGTCTCTTGGGGTGCATCTTAAAAAGCACTTTCTTGAAGCCCAGAAAATGCCATTCAGCTAACATGTCTCTTCACATACAAACTGTAGATAAAGTGTGGGATTAATTGAATCCAGCAAAGTGTAGAAGCAATAAAGTGTTCACCAGGGTTTGAGATTCAGTGATTATCATCAAGTGAATATATTTTTGTGCTTATAGGAGAAGTTGACCCAATCTGCTAACTCCTTTCAAGCCTTCATCCTGTTTCCAAACTATAGTTGTTTTCCTATCCACAAACAGAAGATTTGGAGCTGAAAGGTGTTTTCCTCATATCAGGACTGTTTTCACACACTCCGTTTATGGTGACCTTTGATGGTCTTTCAATCTGGCATGTGGGACCTGACAGTCAGGCCATATACAGTTTTTTTAAAAAATTTGATTTATATGCCGCCCTTCTCCGGAGACTCAGGGCGGCTTATAATGTGTTAAGCAATAGCCTTCATACTTTTGTATATTTATACAAAGTCATCTTATTGCCCCCACAAACTGGGTCCTCAATTTACCTACCTTAGAAAGGATGGAAGGCTGAGTCAACCTTGAGCCTGGTGAGATTCGAACTTACAGTAATTGCAGACAGCTGGTGTTAATCACAATGCTATCAGTCTGCTGAGCCACCAGGCCCTGTGGCTCAGGGTAAGCTCAAGTAAGCTTTGACTGCACCCCCAAAAGTTTCTCCAGAGATTCCCAAAAATTTATGCTTCTTAATGAGATAAACAATGTCTGTTACTGAATGTCTCAGGAGGTGACAGGACTTCAACAACTTGCCCATGCTTAGAAACCAAGGAGCATCAGTAGATATTCGGTACATGGATGAGACATGGACAACTCATGGTTATAGGCTAGATTGGGAAGGCCAACAAACATTCTGGAAGAAGGCAGTGAGAAATCACAAATGTATTGGAGACCAAGCAAACTTCAAGGATCTACCCAAGTAGAATAGGATAGGTGGAATAGGTGGAACCTGGCTCAAAAGCAGTAATTACGAGAGGGATCTTGGAGCCTCAGTGCACAATCACTTACATATGAGATAGCAGTGTGCTGCAGCTGCCAAAAAAGCCAATGCAATCCTAAACTGCATTAAGAGGGATAGAATCAAGATCATTTGAAGTGTTAGTACCATTTTATAAGGGCTTGGTAAGACCACACTTGGAATACTGCATACAGTTCTGATAATATTATCAGTATTTGAAGGGCTGCCACAAAGAGGGAGGAGGTCAACCTATTCTCCAAAGCACCAAAAGGCAGGACAAGAAGCAATGGATGGAAACTAATCAAGGAGAGAGGCAACCTAGAACTAAGGAGGGATTTCTTGATAGTGAGAACAATTAATCAGTGGAACAACTTGCTTTCAGAAGCTGTGGGTGCTCCATCACTGAAGGTTTTTAAGAAGAAATTGGACAGCCATTAGGGTCTCCTGCTTATGCAAGGGGTTGGACTAGAAGACCTCCAAGGTTTTTTCCAGCTGTTATTCTATTTATGTAGTCTTCAGAGTCAATTAAAACAGAGCTTCCAGGAATGACACCTTTGCCTTTATAATTACTGTAAATATATGGGAGACAATCTTATCAGATATATTTAACCATCCTAATTAAATTCCAATGTAAATTAGATTGAATCAAATGTGATTTCAGTTCTGGTCCTACCAGTCATTTGTCCCAACCTGCCATTTAAAGGCCTGCAAAATGAAACATTTGTGGATGCAAATATATCATCTTGCATTAAAGCAACAGTGCATTGTAGCTTATTTTATGTGAAGGTGTGTATCCTTATGGATGTTAAATGAATATATCTGTGTTAAATCCCCATTCCACACTAGCTTTACAGGCAGTCTTTGATTCGTATCCATTTGTTTAGCAACAGTTCAAAGTGACTTATGACAAGTCCTTGCACTTATGATAATCACAGCACCTTGCTTGTTTACATGATTAGAGTTTGGGTACTTGGTAACTGGCATTTATTTACTATGGTTTCAGAGTCCCGTGGTCATATGATCACCATTTGCAACTTTCTTAGCTAATTTCCAAGAACCAAAGTCAATAAGGGGGGAAGCTGGATTCACTTAAGAACAGCATTATTCACTTAACGACCACAGCAAAAAAAGGGTGATAAAATTAGTGTGGTCACATGATGACTCATTTAGCAGCCACATTGCTTAGTGATGGATGTTCTGGTTCCCATTGTGGTCATAAACCAAGGACTACCTGCAGAGGTGGGTTTCAGCAGGTTCTAACCAGTTCTGGAGAACCGGTAGCGGAACTTTTGAGTAGTTCGGAGAACCGGTAGTAAAAATTCTGACTGGCTCCGCCCTCATCTATTCTCTGCCTCCGAAGTCCCAGCTGATTGGGAGGAAATGGGGATTTTGCCGTAACCTTCCCCTGGAATGGGGTGGGAATGAAGATTTTACAGTATCCTTCCCCTGCCATGCCCACAAAACCGGTAGTAAAAAAATTTGAAACCCACCACTGACTACCTGTTGAAATTTTATGATTGGCCATGACCACCATAGAAATCAGGTGCTGACCTGACAAGTCTCCCATGGCCACCAGGTCATAAGAAGGCCCATCACATGATCCCAAAATTTGTGTATGCCTTCTCCCAGACCTATACAAACATATCAAGACTTTGCCCAAAAGGGTTAGAGCAGGGATCTCCAAACTTGGCAACTTTAAGACGTGTGGACTTCAACTCCCAGAATTCCTTAACCAGCTATGCTGGCGGGGAATTCTGGAAGTTGAAGTCCACACATCTTAAAGTGGCCATGGTTGGAGACTTTTGGGCTAGACAGGATGTAACTAGAGGTCGCAAGGGAAAATTACTCCCTTAAGGTGGCCTCCACCTGTGTTCTTATTTTTAAAAAAACAGAGTAGGGTTTCTTTGGAGATGTAACACTTTAATAGCAACCCAAAAGCATGTTCCAAGCAAATATATCTTTCCAAGCAGATATAGCCAGGAGCTCTCTGGGAGCTTCCAGAACAGCACCCCCACTCCCCCAACCTGTTGTCTTCCAGGTGGGTTAATATATTCAGCATTGACCATGATAGTGTAAAGGTCCTGGGAGTTGAAATCCACTCATTGGGAAGGTGCCCAGGCTAGAGAAATCACTTCTGGGCACCTCTGCCTGGCACTTAATAGAATAGAATAACAGAATTGGAAAGGGCCTTGTAAGTCATCTATTCCAACTCTCTACTCAAGCAGGAGATCCTTTATCATTTCTGACAGATGGCTGTCCAGTCTCTTCTTAAAAGCTTCCCACAATGAAGCACCCACAATTTCTGGAGGCAAGCTGTTCCAATGGTTGATTGTTCTCACCGTCAGAAAATTTCTCCTTATTTCTAGGCTGAATCTCTAGAAATAAGGAGACATTTTAGGAGCCAGTAAGAATTTTGCTCTTCTTTCAGACATTCAGTGGTGCTCAATTTGTGATGGTAATTTATTTTCTTCATTTGCTGACTGCTGGTTGATTTTTGGCTCCTATTAACGAAAAAGGAAAGTTATGATGTGTTTTGAATCTGAAAGCTGGTCTTTCAAGCGAGTTTCAGAATGCGGACTCCCAAGGCTGGCTCCTACCCAGCCGATAAAATGCCTTCCAAGTTCCCATAGTAAATTATATCGCCTGGAAAAAAAAAAAAAGGAACAATGAATTTCGAAAACATCCCCTTGATCTGGAAGTGCCTGCAGCAGATTTTGAAAGACGGGAAGCCTCCAGACGTGGGAAGCGGGAAAGGAGGTGGGGGGGGGAAACAACGAACGACATACCCCCTTCACATGGATCTCCTCCTGTTTAAAACCTCGTGAATCCCTTTTTCCCCCCTTCCCGGGGTCTGTTTCTTTTTCTAGGGGTTGATATTTTCATAGTGAGTCCATTTCCCCCAAATGGGGGTCAACGCCGGGGTGGGGGCAAATGACGCCAGGACTGAGACTCATCACAGTCTTTTGCTGTGGCAGTGTCTGAGCCAAATGCAAACAACAAAACCAACTCAGAGGCTGACCGCATCAACCTTTTGACAAGGCAACCACACAGCGCCGGAGGCTTTGCTCTCTTTCCTTGATATTCCAGACTGGGGGGGGGGGGGGAGGGGGGTTTACTCCCTCCACTTTTAATATCCCACCCCGCTGCCATTTGATCCCGATTAATAGCTCCCTTGCCCTTTACGTGGCATGGCTACTTCCTCTTGGCAGTCTCTTCCAAATGAGAGGAGGAGATAATCATCAAAAGTACACAATCCAAAGGATAACCTGGTGACATCTCTTGAGGAAATGGCTGTATTATCATGCCCACAACGCATGAGTAAACATCTATGCAAAGGGAAAGTCACATCCGTTAGTTAGTCTGGTCGCCTTATCATAATTGTGCCTGAAGGAAGAGTTTGCTTGTAACAAATGGTAGACCTTGAACTACAATTCCCAGCAGCCTCTGCCAGTGTGATCCACGATAGGAGCATTTTGCACATCTGGAGTGCCTCTCCTTGCACTAATCTTTCATCTCCTCTCTGGTTGGCTTGTTGCAACCATCAGGCTCGTAAATGTAATTGGAAGCTGGCTTATCTCAACAAGTCATTGTTAAAATTTGCTACAGCTTGCCACCTATATCCATCTGTGGTTGGAGTCTTCTTAAAATTTTGAGGCGTCCAGGGGCACAAGCTTCCGTCCTCCCTTTTCTTTCACGGCTTGCTCTGTCAACATCATTTCTTTTCTCCCTTTTTGTCCTCAGTGACCGAGGAAGCGGGAGTGGGTGGGGAGCGTTCTAAAACATTGAAATAACAGAGAGTTTATTTTCATCCCTTAGTCTTCCAGCATTGATGACTTCAGATACTGCCTTGTGTTTGGGATGGGCTCTGGCCATAGTTAATAAAAAGCAGCAACATCGTTTCTTCCATTTTTTCTCCACATGGCTTTCCTGGAGAAGATCACACGACCTCCCAGACCTGTTGTGGCTCATCCTTATTACGTTAAAGGAAGCTTTCGCAATGTGAAATTCAGCTGTTATGGAGCACATGAGGCGAAGGGAAATGGACGAGGCATTTCCTGATGACGGGGTTTCCTGGGAAGTGTCTTTTAAAGGCAGCAGGAGTTCACACGTATGGTTCTGCACATGCTTATCTAGCAAACCGTTTACACAGAATTACATTTCCCAGAGCTCTCAGACTCCCCCACCCAAGATGCCTACAATAAACTTCCACTGAGTTTCACAGGCAGGTACGGTGCTCTCAGAGGAAAGCAAGAGAAGATTTACACCCCTGAACCTGGTATAGAAATAGGCAATGATATACCAGGGAGGTTCCCGTGCTTCACACGAGGCACTGTGCGGCATTGAGCCCCCATTTTGCCTTTGGAGGAAAGGAACTCACTGAGATACCATTTGATAGTTACAATATTGTTTCCAATATTGGAATCCAAGGAGTATTTAATGCACAGTGGAGGGGGACTTCCATGCACCAAATGAAATGTCAAACCACAAAGCCTTGCCAGCTCTTCTAATCACCCCATATGCAACGGGGCAAGACGATCCAGACAGAACTGTGCAGACTTCCCTAAGGTAGCCTTAAAGCCCATCTGGGATAAATGCAGAACCTTGGAATCTCTACTGAGAATTTCCCACTCTCCATCATAGTGAGCCATTAAGGTGGAGTTTCTTGTAATATGTTGAAAATATTTTCCCCATATTTCTCCCCAACTGGGTTGAGTTGTCATTTAACAGAGAAGCTGCCAACTGACTCACCTGCTTTCTCTTCCTTTTTCTTCCTAGCCTGCCCTCTGACTCTGATGGGCACCTTTGCAAAGGCTGCGACAGAGTGCCACACACATATGTGCAGATCTGATTACACCATGTGAAAGTTTTGCCCACGGAGGAAAAACCTCAGGCACAGAGCAGCAGCGAAGCAAAGAACCACACAGATCGTCCTTGGTGCAAGAGAAGACTCATACATTCCAGTCTCATGGTTACCCACTCCCCAAAGTCTACCAAGGACAAGTGATGTGCAGCCAACCAAATCCCATGAAAAGCAGCCTATACAACATTACTGAAATCCATAAACCAGCCAAATTTTTCAGAGCTGCACGAAACATAATGCTGTCCTTTGCATTTTGCCACCCAACAGAAGGCAGAATCATGTCTGCAATCGCTCTAACTGAATGCTGAATGGACCTGCCTTTGGGTTCCATGGTGTAAACCAGTTACTCCTTGAATCTGATCGATTTCAATGGTAACTAATATAAGTGGGACCCAAACTATGGTATATAGGACAGGTTTATAGTGTAGATCTTTTATTATGTCCTGATCTGTTTGCGTGGTTGCAATTGAGATCGTATTAAAATTATATTGGCCAAGCCTTTTTGAATGCCTAGAGGACCACGTATTTCTATTTTTAAAAAAACACACATGTGCAGCACACTTGTCTGCAACAGAGCAATATATCTTAAAAGATAATTTTTATATTGAGAACATTTGTTTTTTTTTAATGCATTGCCAAATATAAATAATTGTCCAAATAGGAAAGCTTTGAATCATTTTCAAAAGAAGTTCAAGCATTGATTTTGCCAAGCCTCAGAGGATAAGGAAAGTTACAGCTAGAGTGAATGGGCTTTTCTATGTTGCAAAGAAGTTATCAGCAAAAGCTGTTGAAGTTCAAGACCCTGCCTTTTGCTATGGTGCCGAAAGCAGGAGATGCCATCTTCCTCTGTGTGATATTTGCACAGTGTTTCCAAGAATCCAGGCTCAATGACCATTCAAAACAATTCTGGGATGCCTTTCCTCTTTCAATAGTGGGACACACTATTTTTCTGGCTCAGGAATTCTGGGAGTTGAAGTCCCCAAGTCATAAAGGGGGTATAGTTCTCCATCTCTGTTTTAAAAGAAGAGATCTTATTTAATCCGAGAGCTGAGTTGACTGATATGCATGGAGTTTTATATTTAATTTTTAGTATTTTAATATTTTTATCTGTGCCTTTTCATGACATTTGAGCTGTTGGTTTGATTTTAATTGGTTTTGTTGACACAGCTGCAGCTGCCTGTAGCTTTGATCTCCTTGTTTAATGGAAAGATGAGGGATGAATAAAATAAACCATGTGATGGGTAATTAAATAAATTACAATAATGAAGTATTATTTGTCTTTTTGGTGTATTTTCTCTTTGTGCAATCTTATAAACTCCCCACTTGTAGTACAAAATGAGATTTTCTAAGGAGAGCAATGCCACCACAATGAAAGTTCATCTTTAATTTGCCATGTAGTTCTGGGAACAAGAAGTGATTTAATTTCTCCTTTGTGTTTTTTTTATTATCCTTCTTACCAGCTTTTCAGATAGCAAAAGTGGAGCCCCTGCTGATAGGAAAAGCCTCATTATCTTTTACTCACGATATAAAGATCTTTTTAGCTAACCATACTTATAAAATGTTGAAATCAGTAGTAACATTTGCCCTGCAAGGTTTGCATCAAAGACAAAAAAGTCAGAAAAATTTGACTCTGGTGCCAATTGCTGGGGCAGACAGCAAACCAGCTGACAAATCAAAAACAATATTAATAAAAAATATTTTTTAAAAAAATTACAATTAATTTCATAGCGTGATACATGAGATTTTTGTCTCTTGCTTTGGCATTTTTCAAACAATGCCATGTCCCATAAATCGGATAATATTTATTTATAGCCAGGGAGATGTAGTGATTAAGATCTAAAGAAGGATCAGGGAGATGTGGATTTTAATCCAACCTTTGCCAGCAAAGCTCACTGTGGGATTTTGGACTAATGACTCTCGCTCAACCCAACCTACTTCATCAGGTTGCCATTGTGGGCAAGAAGGAGAGGAAGGGACATTGTGTGTTCTCTCCAGAGCCCCTAGAAAAAAAGCAGGACTCAAATAAAATTTCAGCACTGTATTAGCTTCTTCATATTTTGAAAGATTTAGATTGCAAATGATCCATTCCTATTATATAAGTGTTTATGTTACCCTACTTTCAAAGATTTCAGGTGGCTTATTTTATAGCACAAATAAAAGACGACTAACCAGGAAATAACAAAACCATTTCTTATAATTTATAAAAAGACAACCCAGCTCTGTCACTCCTCCAGAAGTCAACAGAACTAAATAGTTTTACTGTTTGGCAGATTCAACAAGGGGGTAACCCAGTGGTGGGTTGCTCCCGGTTTGGCCCGGTTCGGCAGAGCTGGTAGCGGTGACGCTATTACGTCACCGAACGGTTCTCTTTCTTCGGGAGCTGGGCCCTCCCGCCCGCCCCCGCATTATTCCGACCTTATATTTCTTCTTTTTTCGCCCAGCTGAGAGGTGCGGCAGAGCGGATTGCCGCACCTCAGCTGAGCAGATTCGCAACACGCTTGCGCAAAGTGAAGAGGCGATCGCGCGCAAAGCGCACACACAAATAGAACTGGTAGTAAAGTCGTTTAGAACCCACCCATGGGGTAACCCATATCAGGGGCAAGCTGTTTCATAAAAAAGGGACTGCTACCAAGAAGGTGTGTCGATCAATCAATTCTGTTTATTGTGTCCAGACACCAGTACAAGCAGAGTGCTCTGCAAATGAATAAATGAATGAATGAGAGAGGCAGACACACACACACACACACACACTCACATGCCCATGTATAAGCAAAAATTACTTTTATTGATATTGACTGTAATAACAGAATCTTGAAAGTCTGGACTTCTTCACCCTGCCTAGGACAGCAATGAAAGACCTTCCCAGACCAATCTTGCTTTAAAAATCTCCAAGAAT